GCGCGATCAAATGCATCCTATGCACCGGTGCTCGGTAAGCTCCCTACTCGCCTGCTCACCGTGTCATGCCGTTCGTTAAATTATTGGCGTTGGCGAGGCGCGAAGACCCAGACACATTGCCAAATACCTCAACACGGTGCAGCGCGGACGACAGGCAGTGTACAAAAGGACAGTCTGAAAGGTCCATGGCCAATCCCAGATGCATATCCGGCACCCTTTATGGGATAACCATTCCGCCGCGCTGGTGAGTAGTGTCACGACAACTAACGCAGCCGTTTGCGACTCGCGCGGAGATTCCGCCCGCACAAGTCCACAAATCAGCTGAACATGATTCAAAACCGTGGCTTCTGGGGCGCTGGGGCTCACCGCCATGGCGGCCGGCCGTTTGCAGGTGGCGAGAGAGGCCGAATCAGAACCGCTGGACGGGCTCGCTCCCAGCGTGAGGCCTGCCGCCACAGCAAGGTCGCTCGAGGCCCTATATCACCTCCGCCCAACCGCCCTCAGACCCGCCGCGCTCTGGCGCAGATTGCGCCGGCTGCTAGCTCCAGCGGCGTTTTATTGTGGCTCGCTGCAATCGGCGCTGTTTAGCACCTTAAACAGTCGTAAATTAGGCATTGATACAGCGGTGCTGCGGTTGTTTGTGCGCTCATCAATGTCAGAAGTGCTCAGATGGAACTGTGCAGCGGCGACCGCAACCCCCGCGGAAACACCAGATCGTGCAGCAGGTGTTTGTTTGACGTTACGACTTGGCAGCTCTAAAAGAATTGCGGAGCTTAATTGCGATCTGATGAATTGCCCCATGCCTTATTAAGGGACGGTGATGTGAGTTATATTTCAAGGGTAGCGCATGCATTACAGCCATTCAACACACTTTGCGAGAGCTTAATCAAATCATGTGCTGAGATCTACGAGGCGCGCGTGTTTGTGGCAGGAATCAAGGTGAAACATGGCAGCAGATGTATGAAGAGAGCCCAGTTTCGGCAGGCCCTGACTGTAAGCCTCGTTGGAGCCCCTTTTGGCAGCAACAGGTACGGCAGCACACGCCCCCTTTCGGCAGCACATATCCTAATTGCATTGGCAGCGTGCATTGGCGTTGTTCGGCGACCACCATTGTTTGGTCGTGACAAGAGGATCGCTGTTTTCCCTTATTTAGGATCACTTTAGGAAAGAGGCATTAGTGATCACCTTTTTATTTGATGGGGTCGTGTAGGACCGTGTTCAAAGCCAAGCCTGAAGGACAACTGTGTTGCGTGTGGTCAAGCAGCCTAGTGACCCGACCTGCCTGGAGGTAGGGGGCTATCTTGGTGTCACGGGTTGAGATCCATACGTCCCTGCGGTCCTTTATCTTTTACACGCTAACAGAAGGGTTCCAACAGTGAAAAACATTCGTTTGGTGGTGATGTGTCAAGTGAACAGTTAATCTGTTCATGCAGCCGGAGGAAATGCAAAACATTGTTTAGAATTTATTTATCAGATTTCACTTGCTCATTTTCACTTTGTACCGCTAATATCATCAAACATTCTTTGGTAGGCAAAGCCGGCTTGTTTGCATGATTTAAAGATATTCCAGGTGCAACTGCATTTCTTTATAATCAATTCGGCATTTAGGTTGAGAACGTCACCACAGTTTGCTCTCGCACTGCTTCAAAACGTTCAAAACCTCCCTGAGCATGGGTGTAACCACTAAGATGGAGCAAGCGGGGGACATGTCGCCCCAATTTTAACCAAATGTGGTTTTGCCCTTTGCAATTATGCTTGCACCATGCACGTTTTCGCGTTTTCCATCTACAAACGCGGTTTTAAGTCTGTCTTGCCTCCTCAGATTTTAGTTTGGCCCCCATTCCTGAATTGACAAACAAAAAAATATGAGGGGCGTGGGTACATCCACGCCTCCGAATTTCCAGTACGCACATTGAAGCTATTTTCCATTCCGGGTTCACGCCTTCTGGCTGTCATTTATTTCTTTGCAATCAAATTCATACTCGTTGTCAAGTCATGGTTTTTATATTCGTTGTGATTACTGCTCAGCACCGATCACAAGGCGCGGAGGAACCCGCTCACGCGGAGGTCATAAACGTCTTTTGTCCGTATTGAATAGCTCCGTCGGGACCGATATACAACTGGGTGCACAATATAGTGGAATTTAATTAGTCAGTTTCCTGTCGTAAAGTTAATGGTTCTGACTGCGAGAGCAAAATCAAATGACATAAGTGATCCGGGTGTAGAGAATAGCTGCTATTGAAAACGATCAGATAATTAGCTCTGGGCCTGTCCTCACAAAAGATGCCGAGAAAGCCCTTGGGCATGGCTGACCAGACAAAGACAGGAAACGCATTCTCCAAGGCTCCCGGAAAACAGGTTTTGTGTGACTTATTTTAAAGCTACTGTTAGATCCTAATCTACAATCCCTATCTGCCAACAACTGAGAGGTAACCCAGACTGCCCGTTATAGGATCAATTCTCTTTCATTGTCACCTTCATCACAAAAATTTTGTTGTGGTTTTCTGGAGTCACATTTGTTATGCTTCTGTGATATCTAATACAATTCGATATATCAGGGAATTCCTGAATTTGTATGCATTTAGTTTGTCTTCATTTTTCACAGGCTTTCCTTCATTTTCCACCACTGAATTGAATCAAGATGCCATTTCAGCGAACGATATGAGAGACAGCTGCTTCGGTTCAATTATGCATGCACTCATCGCTCGAACCGTGCCTTTCAGTTTCTGCTTTTTCAATGGGATCAACTTTCACAACCAGCTCACACGAAGCGATCAGTCATGGCGGATCCAACAGGCGCCCTGGCTGACTGCTCGAGGAGGGCACCTTGACGCGGCCGTCTAGGGACCGACGCGCTCAGCGCGTTTAGTAGCGTCAAATATCGACAGGGTCTCAAGTCGCAGGCCGCTCCGACGCTAATATATTGATGGCCCGGCTTCCTGTCTTCTCACGCCGCGACCGACAATTACAGCGGTATGTCAATTACCGTGTCCCGGCCGCCGCGCGACCGCGTGCAAACTCCGCCCACCGCTGAGGAGCGGAGGCGCTGATTGGCTGCGCGCGGCCGGGCCGGCTCGGCCCGCCCTCTGCCGGCCGCGCCGCCGCCGCCGCCGTCAGTGTACTCCCGCCGTTTTTGCTCGGGCGCACGCGGCGCGGCGCGGACACAGCGGCGGACAAGCGAGGCGGACAATTGCGGCGGACAGTGCCGGCGGCGGCGGCGGCTCCGGAGCGCGGCTGACCCGAGCTTGACCGGGACACGTCTGGACGGCGATGTGGCGCTCGGCGGCGGCGTGGGCCGCCCTCTGCCTCCTCACGGTCGCGGCCAGCCTGGCGCGCGCCGACGCCAGTAGGAGCTCCGGCAAGGGCAGCAAGTGGTGGTAAGTGAGCCGACGCCGGCGCCGGTCGCCAAGCGACTGTTTGCGCCCGTCACGCCACTCTCCGCGCTGTGGATGCATCGTTTGTTTAACCGATTCCTCATACGGGGCCGTTGAGAGACGGGTGCGGTCGTGACTTAACCCAGCGCCGCACGCTCGGTAACGCTGCGATAAACGTCTCAGCAGGCTACGGATTCGATCGCAAATATCTGATAAACAGACTGCGTCGCACGTCACTCACGGACGCAACCTCCCCCGGCGCCCGGCCCGGCGAGCCGTCCAGCCCCGCGCCCCCCGCCCACTGGGAGGTGGCGGAGTCCTGCTCCATCCCGCGCCGCCCTCTTGCTCCTGCTGCTGACGCGGGGAGCTGACGCCCCGACAGTGTGTGCCGCTGTCCGCGCTCCCTTGCGCGCCGTCACAGGGCAGGAGAGCACATCCATCTGCGCTGCGTCTGTCACGCCCTTACCGTCCCGATCCGGGACACGACCGAAGCGTCCCACCCCACCATGGTGTCGCGTGCGACGGGCGCCGTCCTACTCCCTACACAACGATTCTCAGTTCATCGACTCAGTGTGTGCCGTGTTCCCCGTTCTTGCCCCTATTCGAGATTACTAACCGTTAATGAATATGCCCTCGAGCTCTTCCGTCACCTCCTGCACTATGCGACACCACCAGCCCTGCAGCTTTTACTCACACCACCAACCACATGTGCAGGTGCATGCGCGTCTTTCTCACATGGAAGCTGGCTTCACCCCTTCATGAGTAACACTTGCATCTGACTGCCCCTCCTTACACCCGCCAGCTCACGCTCTGCATTCTCCTCGCAACCCATGCAAATGTCCGGGCCCCCTCCCCACGTGCAAGCTTTCTGTGCACCCCCATCAGTGCCACGTGCGGCCGTCTGTGCCCGCTCCCACCCCGCTCCCCACGTGCGGAGCCGCCTGCACGGCGTCCACGTGAGTCAGAGTCGCGCCAGTCGCCGGTCGCCGATACACACGGACACGGTGGTGGCCGCCAGACGCGACGCGGACGCGTCTCGCTGCCCGTTTACGTTTGCCGGCGGGCGACCGGGCGACCGCATGACCGCGCCGCCGCCGGTGTCTGCCGCCGACACGTCCCAGGCGGCGGTGCGCTGCTGCCGGCCGGCAGCCCCGGGGGCCGCGTGTCCGAGCCGCCCCTGCAACACGCGGGCGGCCCAGCTGAGGTCGGTGTGGTCACAAGGCGAGCGCCGGCGCCGTCGGTGCGGGTTCGGGCGTGCAGTGTAGGTCTGTCGGGAGTGTCTATCTGTGGAACTGGGTACTGATAAGGACGCCGGAATTCGAGCTAAATCCAATGCTAGATCAGTGTTTATTGAAAACAGATCCCGTTATGTATGTGGTTGGCTCCGCGCTGGACTGCCTCACGAACCGCCTCCGTATCCATGCGTTATCTCCAGCCCGTGCTCACCTCCACCGAACCCAAGCTTGACCGTACCAGCGTCACCTAAGAGTCGGCGCCTTCCACCCGTCCCTCCCACCGCGACGTGCCAGACTGTGCAGCGACGCCGTCCGGTGGCGGCAGGCTGTCTGGACGGGGTGCGAGTGGCCGTTCCGTCGCCACCGTCCCACCGCCGCCCTGCAGACCCTGGAGGACACGTTGTGACACCTGTCGGGCGCCGGCACGGGCCGCGGTGCGTCCGTCGCGCGCCGCCCGTCGCGCGCGCCCGCCGCTCCGACGGCGCTGATCGGCGCGGCTGTCACCGGGCCGGTCACGTGCCGCGTGTCCGGCCGCCGCGATGCGCCGGATAAGCCGGCCGGCGGGGGGCGGCATCAGAGCCGGCCGGCTTTGTCATTATCGCCGGCCGCCGCCGCCCTGTTGTTGGGGCGCAGCGGCGGCGGCGAGTCTCGCGTCGGGACATGGTGTCCCGACCGAGCTCGGGGCGCCGAGCAGCGCCGCGAGCGCCGAGCTCGCGAAGCCGAGCGGCGTCCGTATGGGACGCACGCGCCGCCGCCGGCTCGCCAGCGCCGCCGCCGACTAATTGGTGATTAGTGACGTGCAGCCCGGCAGCGGGACCTGCGCGGCCGGCAAGGCGGCCGCCCCGCGAGCTCCCGGGTGCGTGTGTTTACACCGACCTGCGTGAGCTCGTCCGTCGAGACGCTCGGCAAATAAGCCGATCGGTCCGGGTCGTGCGCGTGGCGATCCCTGCGCGCAGAGCCACTCGGCCTCCCACCACCCGCTGTCTAAACAACACATCCCCTATGATTATTAAACAGATCGCATGTTTTGATTAATTAATCGTTGTTTATGATTAATAATTGGAATTAATAATGTTTTGCGTGGCATGGGTACGACAATAAATCACGGCGGGCGTGTGCTCCGTGCAGTCTTGTCCGGGTCGTAGACGTTATAGATATGTCTGCCTGAAATGATGTTCTCAGCTGGTAAGACTCGCGCAGTACGCTTAGCAGGCTTGCCCTTCATAACGCAACAGCGGTTGATTTGTGCAGACTTGACGTCATCCGTCTGGACAGGAAAGAAAAGCAGGAGACTGCCCGCACGGGACGTCTCATTATGCAAGGGCTCCGTTACGCGGAATATTGCGCCGCCTTCGCTGGTACTGCAGCGGGAAAATTCAATGCGTCACACGGCACACGCGCCCCGGCGTGCGTCACCCGTCGGAACCGCACCACGTCACGCGTCACTCGCGCGGCACCGTCACGACATGCTGCCGCGGCGGTGAGACGCGGCAGCATCCAGGAAATGTCGCCGACACCACCGTGCGGGCCGGAGCCGCGCCGCGGCAGGCCACCACTCCGGCCGCCGAGAGTTCGGTCGAGGCTGACGCCGTCTCACGGGATTGGCATATTGATGAGCGAACGGCGGTCTGCTCTCGTTCTCGGAACGCGGCGGCGGCGCGGCGCGCTTCCGGCGGCACTCACAGCGTGGGAAGCGTCAGCCGCGCCGTCCGCGCCGTCCGCGGGACACCGGTCGGATGCCGGCTCAGGGCTCGCCTGGTCCCTGTGGAATATGGATGGAGATCGGGGGACTTGGAGATCGGGGAGATGAGCGGGCTGTCGGCGCCTGACATGATTGGAGCTGACGACATAAGATGCTGCGCTCTTCGTTCCCGTCCGGCAGTTCAGGAGAGCGCCAGGTCGCGTTCTCCATTAACTGGCCCGGGCGACACTTCGCTGTAAACGTGCAGATCCAGTAGTAATCATGTCATATCCGTACAATTGTTGTATGCCCAGTTGCTTGACTCAGGTACATGGCATCCCTTCACACAGGGCGACATTTTGGCTGCATTGAACGAATATAGGTTAGAAGTTATGTAACTCCCGGTCACTTATTCGTAAAAATACATATGCTACATACCTTTTGCGGCCGACGGTGTTTTGCTTTGAGCGATACCACGTTTCAGGGATAGTGTCACCTTTGTGATATAAGCTTATCATCCATAATGTTATATGGCAGCGCTTATCACTCTAAATGATTTCATACAGTGCACCTGGATTACCAAGAACACAGCATAAGCACGCCAATGTGTTTTTTTGTGATGTCCAAAATTTCCGATTAGTATTGTCAAAGGCCCCCGACGATGCTTGTCTGTCGAAGTAGCCAGGTCATACTATGCTTCAAAGAAGCTTCAGGCAGGATCGAGCCAAACATAGATTCAAGGTAGGACAAAACTGTAACTACGAACTCCGGCGAAATTTCCGCAGGACTTCAAGCATGGTGACGTCATGGGCGCGGTCACCGATAGGCAGGCACCTTCCAAGTCTTTTGCATCAGCTGGCAGCCAAGATTCAGAGAATCACAATGCTTTGAAAACCGCATATTGATCGACATTAAGTTTACGAACTCTCTTCCTTCAAGGTTCCACGAAAAAATTGTATTGCAATGTTGACAGAGCTGAAATTTGACAAAAGATTGGTGAAAACAGAATACAAGTGACAGAAGAAAACAGATATCAATGTGGACAAAAAGTGAACTTAATGTTGGCTGCGTGAAAACAATTTTTCTAAATCGCTGGTTCATGCGGAACATTTAAGCTTTTGAAAACAGTCATGGAAAGTGCCTGTAGTCTGATCGACCACCTACAACTCATGACGAGTCATGCGTGTACAAGCAGATGCACTTCGTTTTAAAGAATATTAATTCCGGTTTAGAACATTAACATTCGGTTACAATGCTTGAAGCTGTCCCGTATATGCCTTTGCGCACATCTTATTCACGCTCTATCTTTTTTTGTCCCACCTTTTAACCTTTTGAATCTAAGGTTAATTTATATTTTCAGGCGAAGTACTGGTCCAAAATTTGACTCCGTTTTGTGGTCCTGTCTTTATGTCAAACGATCTCACACACCACTTTTTGTCGATATCCTCGCCACAGCTTATTTGACATCTCATCACCAATGCTCACAAAACATATTGATAAAACTGCTCACACGGATCTGCACGTTTTATGAAACATAAATATATATATATATATATATATATATATATATATATATATCACTAAAACGGGCATGACGCAAAGCCTATAACGCACACGACGCAGTAAGTCCTCAGCATGCTGGCATCCGCAGTCACTTCCTATAGGTGTGCAAGGCCAAAATACCTTTATGTTTTGTTGTGAGCACTAGTATTGAGCCATGAAATTGTAAAACTAAAATTATCGTTCAACTCGTGGTCGGCCATTTATACTGTGCGATCTTACACCATCACTATCGCACCAAAGGTGACAGAACACTTATCGTTCAAGGCGCACCGCACCCTCCTACTTTTATGTTTGGCCCTTTGAATTGCTGGGCAAGTTCCAATTAGCGATGTGTATACACACGACTCGCTCTCACTCTGGACTTGCTCTCGAGATAGCTGCACAGGGTTCTGCACTCATGCGCGGAAACTGGGGTCCTGGACATGAAATTTCCGCAGGATGTTTATATCAATATGTTCACGCTCTCGCCTGGAGTCCACACACGCGTCAATCAGAAATGTCGAGTTGAAGATCGTTTGAGATCA